GCTGGAGGAAGGCGCGGGCTTGTGTGCGTGTGTACGTATGACTGTGACTCGCCTTGTCCTGGGAGCTGGTAGCGGAGTGTGCGGCACCAAGTCTTCTCGGACTAGGACTGGGTCAAGACCAGGGCAGGCCGGCCCGGGGCTGTGCTGGGCAGAAGGCTGTGCGCGCGCGCGGGCGCGAGCCCGTGTCTGCGCCCTACCACAGATGACGACAGGCAGCGGCCCGGCCCCGGGCGGGCCCTGGGCGGGGAGAACGTGCCGGGACCGCGGACTCCGGAGCCGGCCACGCCGCCCAGCTTGGCCCCGGCCCGCACACCGAAACAGCCGAGCCGGTGAGTACGCTGGGCGCCGACTAAGGCTCGGGGGGGCAGGCAGCGGTCTCCTGGCCACGGGAGGGCTCCGCTACCGGGGGGGAAGCGGAGGTCACTGACCCCGTGGTCGCTGGGGCCGAGGGCCGGCTTGGCCCAGTCTGTACAAAGTCCCAGGACCCTGTGGTGCCAGAGCTCGGCCTGGCAGAGACCTAAGATTACATGTGGGTAACGAGAGGGCGGGGAAGTGAGGCTGGGGTCTATAGACCCAGGCACCCAGCACGCCCCTTGGTCGAACTCAGCCTCTAGATTCCGGAGAAGCCGTCTAGCCCCGCCCCTTCCCGTTCCCCGCCCTCTGCGCCAAGTATTGCTAGGGGCCGGCGCACCTCGACCCCTGTGCGTGAGGCCGATGGGGGGCCTCCAGATGAATGAAAAATGAATGGCTGACCCACCTCCTTATTCAACTGCCGGCATGCTCTGGTCTCCTGTTTACACTGTCTGTTCCGTGATTCATTCATTCACGCAGGCGACTACAAAGGGTTATTGAACCCCACTGTGCCAGGCTGGGTTGTATGCTCTAGGCAGGAGCAGTCTCCTGGGCGAGACTAACAAGGAAACCAGCGATTACAGCGTATTGTGATAACGAGGGAACGGTGTGTTGGAGGGAGTCAGGAAGGGGTTCTGGAGGAGGCGATACCTAGGCTGAGTCTTCAAGGGTCACTAAGAGTCATTCAGTTGGGGAGGGGAAGTGTGTGCAGGGCCAAGGAAATTGCAGGTGCAAAGGCAGGAAGCCTAGAGAGCCACGTGTGGCTGGTGGCAGCTTATCTGGCTGTGTGTGGTGGTGAGGCACAGGGAGAGAAGGGACTGGAGAGGGCCACCCCTGTGGTCACACAGGAATGTAAGAGCAGCGGGGTAAATTGAGGGCAGAGGGGGGCCTGTCCAAAAGCAGTGGTTGTGAAGTACAGGCTTGGCAGAAGGACTGATGCCCTGTAAACATTCAGTCTGTTAATGTGAGATGTTAATTGATCGGGTTGCATTTGTAAAAACCACCGTTTGCTGTGGGAAAATGGGTTAATGGGAGGAAGGCAGGGAAGCTAGTTTGGAGGATGCCTGGTCCAGGAGTAGAACAGTAACTGTGGAGCAGAAGAAAGGTTCTAGCAGGTGGTGACTCCTTGGTGTGAGGAGTGGAGGGAGGAGGGAGGGCAGGCCTTTGTCTCCCTTCGTACAGAATATTGAACAAGGAGGGTAGGTTAGGAGGCAAGGTGCTTTGTTTATTTCTGCTGGACACCCAGGCAGAAGCCTCTGGCAGGCCAAAGGCCCATGGTTCTAAAGCTAGACTCGTCCTGCGAGCAATCAGGTAGAGCCCTTGAGTCTGGAACAGTCCTTTGTGGGACTGTCTGGACCCAGCCCTAAAATGTTTTGTTTTTTTTTTTTAAGATTTTATTTATTTATCTTTAGAGGGGAAGGGAAGGAGAGAGGAAGAGAAACATCAATGTATGGTTGCCTCTTGTGCGTCCCCTGCTGGGAACTGGCCTGCAGGGAACCAGCCTGCAACCCAGGCATGTGCCCTGACTGGGAATCGAACCGCGATTGCCTGGTTCGCAGGCCCGCGCTCAATCCACTGAGCTATACCAGCCAGGGCTTAAAATGTTTTATAAATATAAATTGAGCACCTGTTCTGTTCCCAGCACAGCACTACCTGTGAGATAAGCTCTGGTTCTTTCCAATATCCCAAGAAACCTTATGGCTGGCTCAGTAAAAATTTGCTTATAGCAGTGACCTGGGGGTCCTCAGAACACCCATTTCAGGCTTTCATGGCCCTGGTCCTGGGCTGGGGGCACATTCAAGGCTACCCATTGTCCTCCCTACTCCTCCAGAGGTCAGGCTTGGGGGCACCTGGTCCATACTAGGTAAATGGCACTAGATAATCCAGGTTCTCTGGAAACATCTCCCCAAGTGGGAGGACACTCAGAAGCATCCTTAGGAAATAAGTCCTGGGTCACTCAGAAGCCATGTTTACACGCCAGGCCCTAGGTTCAGGGCCATGCTAGGGTCCCAAAGGCCATGACCTACTACTTCCTAGCTGCTACTCCTGAGGCCTACCTGTCAATAGTGACACCAACAGGGTTGTGTACTGGTACTGCCGTCATGGGGTCACTGAGGAAGGTCACAGCCTGGCAGGGTAGCTGCTAACTCTTACAGACAAGTTCAGAAATCTTCAGGCTCTAGGACAGTCCTAAAGGAGTAGTGAGTGCTAGAGCTCCTGGTTCCAATCCCACCCCTCCTTTTACTAGTCCTGGCATTTGTTTTTAAATAGAATTTACAAAATATTTATTTATTCTTAAGCCCTGGCTGGTGTGGCTCAGTGGACTGAGTGCTGGCCTGCAAACCAAAGAGTCGCTGGTTTGATTCCCACTCAGGGCACATGCCTGGGTTGCCGGCCAGGTCCCTGGTGGGGGGCACTCAAGAGGCAACCACAAGATGATGTTTCCCTTTCTTTCTCCCTCCCTTCCCCTCTCTAAAAATAACTAAACAAAATCTTATTTTTTTAATTTAAAAAATTTATTTATTTTTAGAGAGGGGAAGGGAGGGAGAAAACCATCAATGTGCAGTTGCCCCTCACGGGCCCCTCACACCAGGGACCTGGCCATCAACCCAGGCATGTGCCCTGACTGGGAATCAAACCAGCGACCCTTTGGTTTGCAGGCCAGCACTCAATCCACTGAGCCACAACAGCCAGGGCAGACTTTTTCCTAATATATATAATCTTTATTATATTTTTCTCATTACCATTTAGTCCCCTTATACTCCCCTCCTCCTCCCTAGTCCTGAGATCTTGAACAAGTCATTCACCTGCCCCACCTCAGTTTCCCCATCTGTGGAACGGGGGTAACAACAAGGACGCTTGTCTTGGCTGGGCTCAGAACGGAGGATGCCCCGGTGCTGCAGCTTTCGTCCCGGAGTCTCTCTACCCCCTCTCCCGGGATGGCACTTCCGTCCGGGGAGGCGGGGCGAAGCAGCGGGCCGGGCTGCTTGGGCTGGTGCAGGGGCCGGAGCCGGCCCTCAGGCCTGGGCAGCCGTGGGGACGCACCCTGCCTTCTGCCGCCGGGCGGTGGTTACCCGGGCGCCAGAGGGCATCCCGGGAATGCACGGCCCGGCCCGCGGTGGAGGATGGCCGGCCGGACCCCTCCGCACGCGGATTCCCCTCATTCCAGCTGCCTGACGCGGCTGGCGGTGGGCGGGCACTGCGGTCGCGAGGCTCCGCCCACTCCCGGCTCCTCCCCTCAGGTCCGGGCGCCAGTCCCCTCTCACCGCAGAGAGCCGCTCTCCGGGGGAGCTCACTGGAACTCCTTCCCCCAGCCCAGGTGGGCTAGACGCTGAGTCCCTCACCTGCTTCCGCTTCCTCTGGAGTTTAAACCCGGGGCCACTGCTGCGTGCGCCCCCTCCTGCCTTGAGCCCGCCTCTGCCGGGGGCGTTTCATCGCAGCACTCCCCTCCGCTCCCACCCATCTCCCAGCTGCGTGCGGTGGCACCCAGTCCCCTCGCCCCCTCCAGAGGGCCCCATCTCCCAGCTGGCGCTCGCCTCAAGGGGTTCCCCGGGTCGCGGCTCTGGCCGAGCTCTTGTTCCCGAGGTAATGAACCTTCCCCACGGGGCTGTAGCCCGCACCTGCCGCAGCCTCACCCCCTCCCCCGGGAGCCCAGGTCGGGGTGCAGGGTCTGCCCTCTTCCCTGAGCATTGATCAGTCAGTGTCTCCAGCATTGCGCCTCAGGTTATCTGTCGGGTGGGGGGCGGGGACAGGTGACGCTCTGGAGAGCTCTTTGTGACTGGTGGACTCGTCCGAGGGGCTTTCCCCGCCAGATAAGAAGTCTCGCCCAGGGCCTGGCTCCTAGTAGGTCGGCCCCAAGCACGAGTGGAATGAGTGTGTGGCTGAGACTGGGAAGTGGTGTTTACCGAGGGCCTGGGAGGTGCCTCCCGGCTGTATCTGAGCCCTCTCCATAACCCTTTTTAGGCAGGTATTAGCTTCATTTTAAGGAAGAAGAGGTTCTGAGAAGTGAAGTGACTGGCTTGCTTTCAAACAGCTTGTAGTAAATACTCCGTCCAGCCTTTTGCAAGCACTAGCCATCACCACCCCAGCAGCGGTGGGGTCTGGGTCCGAGTTCGCTCCTCACGGTCGTGCCTCCCCAAAGTCCAGCCAGGGTGGGGCTGCTGGGGGCTGGTTTTGGGAGGAGGGGGTCGGGGCAGAAAGTGTGGGCGTGTCCAGAGGGACCATAGAGGGAGGCCCCATCCAGAGGAGGGAGGTGAGGAGACCCTAGGGCACAGAAGCCCTAGTTGGGGCGTCTGGGGCAGGGAAGAAGCAGTGCGTGCCCGGCCCCAAATGCTGGAAGTCAGACATGGGTTTCCCAGATGGGGAATTGAGATCTCCATTGAGGCCGGGCACACGCTGCTCCGGGCAAAGTCGTTCTGTGGCTTCCCCTGTCCTTTGGGCACGCGCTCCGTGGTAATGCGGGAACCTAAAGAGATTTTCTCGGGACGGAGAGACACGGGGCCCACACCCCGCAAAGAGAGGGTATGGGGGTGGACAGTGCCCCGCACGGAGGCTCCGCCCCCCTGGGTGCGCCGGCCGTATTTGGACATTTCGTTCTATTTTTAACTTTGCCTGGACTTGAGGTTGGGGGGAAGGGAGAGGGAAATCCTGCTTCCTCCGCGACCCACCGGCCTCAGCGCCCTTCCCGCGCCTGGCCTGGTGCGTGGTGTAGACACAGGCCCGGAAGTGAGTTCCGGGTCGGTGTAGACGCGGCGGCCGCGCGGGTTCCGGGCCCCACCCTGGAACCAACGACGTCCCTCCTGGAAAACCTGACTCAGGCGGAGCCCCTGCCCGGCGGGGAGCCCCGCCCCCGCTCCAGAGCAACCTTAGCTCCAGCCCCCCAACTGCAGAGGGACCCTGGAGTCCCGGCCCCAGGAACCCCCAGGCGCCGGGGGAGTCCCGCGTTTCGCAGGCTCCCTGAGGGGGCGGTGCGGGGGCGGGTCGGCCCCTCCCTCCTTGACGCCCGGGCCGCGGAGCCCCGGGCGGAGATCCTGGGCTGCGGAGCGGGACGTCAGGCCGGCCGAGCAGGATGCGCTACCGGGCGTCGGTGAGCAGGGCGAGGGCAGGGCGGGGGGTCCCGGGCTTCCCTCCCTACCTCGCGGCGGCGCCTCGGCCCCGTCAGGAAGCGGGCGCGGCCCAGGAATTTCGGCTGGAAAAACGTCCCAGAAAGTTGCAGCGGGAGGAGGCCGATGCTGGGAGGGCCGCGGGGCGCGCGGACCTGGGGCCTGTCCCCCAGCTCGTGGGGAAGGCTGAGAGCTCAGAGACCGTCACCCAGAGCGCTGAGGGGGCGGGAGCGTTGGCCAGATTTGCTAGCAGCTTCAGGGCAGGATGGGGGTGCAGGGGGAGTGAGGGACAGGCCTGGGGGAGGCAGACCCCTGGTTAGACCCAGAGGAGGGCCCATGGCCAGAGGTCTGGGTGGTCCGTGGTTGGAGAAGACCTGGTGGCCTCTTAGGGATCTAAACCCCACCACCGCCACCTTGCTCTTCTCTGACCCATGACATTTTTTGTGCCAATTTCCGAGAGCCCCCAGGCCCTTTTTGAAGAGAGTGTGTTGTGTGGGGTGAGGGCTTTGTTGAGCCTGTCCGTCTTCCTACCCTCTGGTGGGCCCCAGAGGCAGCTGGAGGCAGGCAGCTGGGCTTTCCGTGGTAAAACCCCCACCCCCTTGAGGCCTCTTAGGGTTCTCAGTGGAGGAGGGTGTCTGGGGAGCCTGGCAGCTGATGGGGAGGGTGTGGCCCACGGGAGGGAGGCGCCCCTTACAGGGTGAGTGCTCAGTCCAGCTGGACTGAGAAGCCCTCTGGGAGATTCCTCTCCTATGGCCTGGGGGTGGCCTCTTACCTGGTCCCTAGACACTGTGCTCCTGGAGATTTTGGTGGATGGGGATGAGAGAGTCGCCCCTTACCTGCCCGCAGAATTCACTCTGAACTATTTGTCCTCCAAAACACCTGTCACATGTCTTGGAGCTAAGAAACCTGAAGTCACCTGGTCTAACTCAACCCCTCCTCCTTGAGACGGAAGCAACCCTGAGAGGGGAAGGGATTTGTCCAAGGTCAACAGAATTTTTTCTTTACCATAGGCGTTCCTTGTCCTGACCTTCCTTTCTCCACACAAAACTAGCACCTCCCTGGATTTGGTAGTCTTGCTACTATGTCCTCTAGGGTCCTCTGTGCTCCAGTGCCTGTGTCCACATCTCGTGTGCCCTGCAAGGGGTCTGTTCTGTGTGACCTGTGTCCTCTGTTCTGTGTGCTGGCTTCCTGTGACCCAGGCCCCGTGTACCCAGCATGGTCCATCTCCTGGATATTCTGTGTCCTGTGCTCAGACCTCCTGTGTGTACCTGCCCCTGGCTGCCCTCTCAGTCCCACAGGCTGTGGTGAGGAGAAGCAGCCTTACCTCATACTGTGGCCCTGACCCTCTCCCATGGCTCATTCCCAACAGGCCCTGGGCAGTGACGGGGTACGGGTGACCATGGAGAGCGCACTGACCGCCCGTGACCGGGTGGGGGTACAGGATTTTGTGCTGCTGGAGAACTTCACCAGTGAGGCAGCCTTCATCGAGAACCTGCGGCGACGGTTCCGGGAGAATCTCATTTACGTGAGGCCCAAGTGGGAAGATAGTGGGGTGTTGGGGTGCTCAGAGGTAGAACTGATGGGACCAGAGGCATCAGGGGCCTCTGGGAGAAAATTCTGACCCTCCTCCCCTGACCCCCAGACCTACATTGGCCCGGTCCTGGTTTCTGTCAACCCCTACCGGGACCTCCAGATCTACAGCCGTCAGCACATGGAGCGTTACCGGGGCGTCAGCTTCTATGAGGTGCCACCCCACCTGTGAGTGAGATCTGACTCCCCATCTGAGATGACCCCACCTGACCCTTATTCTACAATGACTCCGGACCTCGCACTTTGGATGGATCAGGGCTCACATCTGTGAGGAATCCCATAGTCCCTCACCCTGCACTGACTCCACCCCACACTGAGATGCATCCGCCCCGACTGGGCAAAACCTCTGCAGCCCCCAGAGCCACTCACACTCATGACTTATTTGCCCACCTCTACATGGCGTGGCCCCCAGCCTCAGTGATCCTCTGAGGGACTTCCAGTCCTACCTATGAGGGATCCCAACCTCCACTTGAATAACCTGTAACACCCCTATTCACGAGTGATCCCTTTCATCTTCCATCTGAAAGTGACCCATCCACAGCTGTGAAGACTTTCCCTTCACCCACATCCTTGGGGGTCCCCCAGTTCTTACCTTCAAGGGTACGTGCAGCTCCCACCCACAAGCGAACTGCAACCAGATGTTCAGCCTTCCCCTGGTCCTACCTGTGGGACTCCCACTACATGCACCTGCTTGAACCTCTATCCCTTGAGCTCCTGACCAGCCTCTGTCCCAGGTTTGCGGTGGCTGATACTGTGTACCGGGCACTGCGTACGGAGCGTCGGGACCAGGCAGTGATGATCTCTGGGGAGAGTGGAGCAGGCAAGACAGAGGCCACCAAGCGGCTGCTACAGTTCTATGCTGAGACCTGCCCAGCTCCTGAGCGGGGTGGTGCTGTGCGTGACCGGCTGCTACAGAGCAATCCTGTGCTGGAGGTGAGGGACCAGCAGCATCTGCGGGGAGGGAGGAGAAGGGAGAGAAGGCTGGCATCCCTCATACCCCTTCTGCTCCTAGGCCTTTGGAAATGCCAAGACCCTCCGGAATGATAACTCCAGCAGGTTTGGGAAGTACATGGACGTGCAGTTTGACTTCAAGGTACCTGTGGTGTGCCAGGGCAGGGCATGGGATTCCCGTTCAGTGGCACCTGCTGGTCAGGCCCTGGGCACCAGGAAATATTTATGGAGTTCCTACTGTGCACCAGGCACTGTTCCAGGTGCTGGTGCTACAGCAGTGAAACAAAACAGACAAAAATCCTGCTTTCCGGAGAGATAGAGAGTAAACAGAAAAACATAATATAGGTGACAAGTGCCGTGGCAAAAATAAAGTAGGGGCGGTTGCTCTCTCAAATAATACAGACAGGCCTCACTACGAAGGTGGCATTTTGATAAAGGTTTGATGGAGACAGGAGATCAAGCTGTGCAGATACTGGGGGGGCGGGGGGGGGGTCCAGGCAGCGGGAATAACCAGTGCAAAGGGCCTGAGGTAGGAGTGTGTTCGGTGCTTTGAAGCAAGGAGGTCAGAGTGTCTGGAGGAGAGAGCAAGGGGCCAAGGAATAGGAGAGGCCGAATAGTGCAGGCCTTCCAGGACCTTTGTATGAACTTTTGTTGTTGTTTTTTAGCTCTGAGTGGAAGGGGGCATCAGAGGATTTGGAACAAGTATGTCCATATCGGACTTTCTTCTTAAAAAGATTATCCTGGCCACTTTGTTGAGAATAGGTGGTCAAGCAGGGAAACCAGTTAGGGAGCTGATACCATTATAATCTAGGTGATAGCTCTCTCTGGTTGGGCCTTGTCCTGCAGGGCAAAGGGTTGCTAGTTCCATTTCCGGTCAGAGCACATGCCTGGGTTGTGGGTTCGGTCCCCGGTCAGGGCGCATGTGAGAAGCAACCAATCGATGTTTCTCTCACACATCAATATTTTCCTCTCTCCCCTCCTTACCCTCTCTCTAAAAGTAAATAAATAAAGTCTTTAAAATAATAATCATCATCATCTAGGTGACAGATGCGTGTGGGCGAACCAGTGTAGTGACAGTGGAGGTGGTGGGCAATGGTTGGATTCTAGGGCTTTTGAAGGTCAAGGCAGAGGATTGGCTGTGTCACTGGAAGTGAGGAGGACTGCGAATATGTTGGCCTGAACACCTAACAGGATGAAGTAACCACTGACCAGATGGGAGATGCTCATTGAGCTAGCACGAGGAGGGGGGTTAGGAGTTCAGTGTCAGGCCTGTTGAGTTTGGGATGCCTGTTGTGCATCCAAGTGAAGCTGACAAATACATAAGGTCAAATGTCCTCATTTCTTGAATGAGGAAACTGAGGCAGAAGGGGTAGCCTGCTGAGCCCATGCAGCTAGTAGCAGAGCTGGACTTAGAGCCCAGGAATGCAGGGAAGAGAAGGGAAGATGGGCCCCATTCTCCAGCCCCCCAAGCAGTCACCATGTCCTGTCCTGCCCACAGGGTGCCCCCGTGGGTGGCCACATCCTCAGTTACCTCCTGGAGAAGTCCCGCGTGGTCCACCAGAATCACGGGGAGAGGAACTTCCACATTTTTTATCAGCTGCTGGAGGGGGGCGAAGAGGAGACGCTGCGAAGGCTGGGCTTGGAACGCAACCCCCAGAGCTACCTGTACCTGGTGAAGGTGAGTGGCTGGCAGGCGGGGCAGGCGCCACCAGGGGAGTAGCACAGCACTGGGGCTGCTAACCCAGCTTTGCCCCTCCCCCAGGGCCAGTGTGCCAAAGTCTCCTCCATCAATGACAAGAGTGACTGGAAGGTCGTCAGAAAGGCTCTCACGGTCATCAACTTCACTGAGGATGAAGTGGAGGTGAGGCCTCTGCCAGGGACCCTTCCTTTCCTCTTGTCACTCGCTGAAAATAGTCCACTTGTGCCACTCATTTCCACTTGACTGCCCTTCTCCTCACACACACTTCACCTCCTGGTCCCTATTTCATCTGACTGTCCTCTGGTTGCCCTTGGGAAACTCTCAGCCTCTTCTGTGACCCTGATCTTCCCCTGCCCGTCCCCCAGGACCTGCTGAGCATCGTGGCCAGTGTCCTGCATTTGGGTAACATCCACTTTGCCGCCAACGAGGAGAGCAATGCCCAGGTCACCACTGAGAATCAGCTCAAGTATCTAACCAGGGTGAGCGTGGTGAGCAGAGGGCAAGGGCAGTGGAGCAACTGGGCAAGGGGAAGGGCCCCCTCACCGTGTGCCCCCCTCTTGACAGCTCCTTGGTGTGGATGGCTCAACGCTGCGGGAAGCCCTGACACACAGGAAGATCATCGCCAAGGGAGAGGAGGTGAGGCCAAGTCTTTGCCTCCGGGGGTGGGGTGAGGGAGGCAGGTGTTCCAAGGTAGCTCCCACTCTCATCACGCCCCTTTCCCTGGTCTGTTCAGCTGGACCTCTCAGCAGTGCTGGAAGGACATAAGGCAGGTAGCTCAGAGAGGCACAGGGAGCTGCCAAAGTCACACAGGAAGAGGATGACAGACTCAGGCTGGAACCAAGATTCCTGCCTCTAGGAATGAGACCTCTTGTCCCTATACCACCCTCCCACTGGTGTGGCCACTGTGTCCTCTCCTGTGTCCCTCCCCACCACACCTCTGAGTGAGGAGGGCAGAACAGGCATAGTTTCCTGGTGCTCAGCCTGAACCCAGAGGGGACAGGGTGGGAGGGAGCCTTCGGCACTCATCTCCCTGTCTCACATCACGCCTGCAGCTCCTGAGCCCACTGAACCTGGAACAGGCTGCCTATGCCCGAGACGCTCTCGCAAAGGCTGTGTATAGTCGAACTTTTACCTGGCTGGTCGGGAAGATCAACAGGTCGTTGGCCTCCAAGGTGAGGGCATGGTTCAGGCTGCCCCCAGGGCAGCAGGGAAGGCAGACCAGGGAGGCCTGGGGTTGGGAGCTGGGGGCCAGCAGACATGGGCACCCATGCTGTTGGTTGGATGACTGGCCCTAGGACGCCGAGAGCCCCAGCTGGCGGAGCACCACTGTCCTTGGGCTCCTGGACATTTATGGCTTCGAAGTGTTTCAGCACAACAGGTTGGTGCCCCCGTCTCTGGCCCATTTCTCCTCTCGTCTCCCTGCCCCATCCTCTGTTCCCTGCCTCTTTCATTCCCATCGGTGGTTCCCTGACCACCCTGGGTCCTGATCAGTGTTTCTTCCCATAGCTGCTTAGAGCCCTCGCCCACCTTTCTCTTACCCCTGGTCTTGTGTCTCCCTTGAGCTCCTGTGGTCTCTTGTGCTCACAGCTTCGAGCAGTTCTGCATCAATTACTGCAACGAGAAGCTGCAGCAGCTCTTCATCGAACTGACCCTCAAGTCAGAACAGGAGGAGTACGAGGCAGAGGGCATCGCGGTGAGTATAGGCTGCTGGTGTCCCAGGCCCCATAAAAGCCCAGGCTTGGTCCCGGAGAGGCACCAGGACCCCATGATGATGCCCTCCTTCCCTTTACCCCTCAGTGGGAGCCTGTCCAGTATTTCAACAACAAGATCATCTGTGATCTGGTAGAGGAGAAATTCAAGGGTATCATTTCCATTTTGGTGAGTCCTCTGTTCCTCCAAAGACTTGCCTGAGGGGCAGGGTGGGAGGATGTCACTCTTTCCCATTTCTTCCCAGGCCAGTTCACAGAGGACCAGAGCTTGGGGTGGAGCAGGGCCAGGGCAGGGCTGTGCATGGAGGGTGAGGTGTGGTGCTGGCTGGATCCGGAAGTTGTCTTGAGGGGGTCCCTATGACCTGCCCCTTTTCCCTGTGTCTGTGCGGCCTGCCTGGTGCCCCTGAACTCCCTATGCTCTCCAGCCCCTCCACTGACACATCCGTCACTCTGTGCCATTCCCGCCAGGACGAGGAGTGTCTGCGCCCTGGGGAGGCCACAGATCTGACCTTCCTGGAGAAGCTGGAGGACACGATCAAGCACCATCCACATTTCCTGACGTGAGTGGGAAATTCCTCTTGGGTAGCGCCTGTGGAAGCCTGGGATCCCCTCACAATCATGGAATACCAGCCATGAAGAGGTGACCATAGGAGGTGCTGAGTTAAGGACAGGCGCACAAGGCTGCAGCTCACAGGACATCCACAAAGAAAGAAGCCGGGAGGATGGCTTCTTCCTTATTCTTTTCTGAGAATGAAACTTGCTAAGATTTTTTTAGCTTCCTTATTTGGAAATTGCTTTTTACTTAAGGAATCCCCTAAAGTGGGGAGAGGGAGAAAGGAAGCCAGCCCCTCTGTCCCATCTCTGTCCTGCATGTTCTGTGCACACCATCTCCTCCTGCTGAAGCAGCCCGGGAAGGAGGTGTTTGTGGTGCTGTCTCCATTTTACTGAGGCTCAGAGAGAAGTCATTTGCCCAAAGTTATCCCACATCTAGTAAGTTACAGAGCTGGGCCTCAGTTCTAGGGCCACAAATGTCAAAGCCCTGAGCACTTTTTGCTTAATAGTTTATTCAAACCCTTTTTCTGATGGTAAAAATAATGTTGCTCATTAGAGGGAAGCTGGATTGTGTGCAGAAGTCACTTGTAGTTCTGTTACTCAGAGGTCATCACTGGTAACAATTCCAGGCATTTCCTTCCTGCCTTTTTCTATACATTTTTTTCATAGTCGAGAACTTGCTGGGTCGATGTTGTTTTGTTATAACATTGATGAGATGCTGTGGGAACTCCACTCGTTTATGTCAATTAGCAGATGGTGAAACTGGTTTCGTTATACGTCATTTCAATCAAAGTCCCAGAACCTATTGATGATGTTAAGTGAGGACTGACTGTAGAAGGCCCAGGGTAATGTTATGTCCTGAGTGTTCCTGTATCATTAGAGAAATTTCCTCAGGATGCTTTCTCCAACGGCTCTACCCCACAGATACCCCCCTGCTTTCGCCCAGCCTTGGGGGGCCCTGGCCCGCTTCCAGGCTTCTGCTAAGTAACAGAGCTGCCACAGACATCTTTGTGCCTTAACTCTCTGCCTGTGTCTCTGGTTAGTTGCTTGAAATAGTTCTTAAAAGTAGAAAATAGGCTAACGAGTATAAACATGCTTAAGACTTAAGTAATCTCCTGGGGCAAATTCCATTCTTAAAATGTAGTGGGCAAGTGCTCAGCCCTCTGAGCTGTCATGCAGCAGCAAGAGGCCTGGGAGGAGCCCTCGGCCCAGTGTGCCTGGGCAATGTGGGGGCCCAGGTCCTGGTCCTGGCACAGGAGGACCCTGGGCAAGACTGTCTCCCTCCCCGAGACTCAGTGGCCACCTCTGTGCAGGGAGGCTGATGGCCTTGCCCCGTCTGCCGTGCTGCAGAGTGGGCCGTGGGGTGACCCTGGGCGCGCCTGCCCCACACTGGATGCCTGTTTCCTCTCCGAGGCACTGCAGCAGGCTGGCCGCGTGGCTCAGGCCTGCAATCTGTAGCTCCCCCTCCCTGTCATCTCTCCACCCAGGCACAAGCTGGCTGACCAACGGACCAGGAAATCTCTGGGCCGCGGGGAGTTCCGCCTTCTGCACTATGCTGGGGAAGTTACCTACAGCGTGACCGGTGAGGATTCTGGGGCTGGTCCCCACAGCGGTCAGGGAGGGGGGCTCTTCCTCATCTCACATCTGTTCTTCCCTCCCAGGGTTTCTGGATAAAAATAATGACCTCCTCTTCCGGAACCTGAAGGAGGTGAGGCGGACTGGGGGTGGGGGTGACTCCAGGTTTGACCCCAAATGACCTGCGCCCTGGGAATCTGTCCTGCCTTCTCCCTGCCCCCCCCCCCACTACCACCTTGATCCCTTGCTCTACCCTCACAGACCATGTGCAGCTCGGAGAATCCCATCATGAGCCAGTGCTTCGACCGGAGTGAGCTCAGTGACAAGAAGCGACCGGAGACGGTACGGAGGCTGTGGGCCCAGAGGGGGTATGTGTGCACACATGTATGAGTGCCTGCATGAGCCCGGGAGCTGACTGTGTGCATGAGAGCTTGTGTGTTTGCTGGTGCCTGTGTGCACATCTACCTGTGTCTAGGAGGCTGCCTGTGGGTGTGTATCTGTGTACTTGTGTGTGCATCTGTGCCTGTGTGTGTGTGAGTATGTGTATACATACACATACTCACACACCTACACACATCTCTGTGTGGGCATTTGCATGCATTCACTCAGCAGACATTGGTAGCAAGTATTATCAGGCACTTAGAATACAAACATGTATATGTGCTCTCACAAAAATGTGTGCAGGGTACTTTGGAGACAGAATAGGGAGCAGCAAACTGGATGAGGAAGTGGAAAGAATGAGGAGTTTGGGGAAGGCTTCCTGGAGGAGGAAGCATTTTCCATAATGGGAATAAGTAGGTGCTTGTCGGATAAACCCAATGGACTCATGGGAGGGTACTGTAGGCAGCAAGAGGCCCCAATACAGAGAGTCCCCAAAAAACCAGGAGAGTGACTTCTGCCAAGATGGAGGCATGGGTGGAAGCACTGCGTCTTCTCACACAACCAAATTTAAAAACAACAAAGTTTTGGCAACAAAAATGCAGCCAAACCACAGAAAATTGAACTATATGGAAGTCTGACAACAACGAACCCTTCAGCCAAACTGGTAAGAGGGGCAGAGCCAGCAGCAGAGTGGGGTCAGGCAGGAAAGATCTACCCGACCAACCCGGGAGCATGACCCAGGTGCACCAGCAGCCATGGGCGGATCCCGGGTGTGGAGAAGTGGGTGGACCCACTGAGGTCACACATTTGTGCACAGATAAACCGGTGAAGGAGTGAGCAGTGAGACGGACCTCACAGGCCCCAGCGGCAGGAGGTGGCAGAGGGAATCGCCATTGTCCCTCTCTGACCCCACATACAGCATCACAAACCAGTGACCTGGGTGGCCCCGCCCTGGTGAAAAACTATAAGGCTCCGCTCCTCTTATGTAACAGGCACAAACAGATCAAAACATGGCTCAAGAACAACTCAGAGCCCCAGAGCCGATAAATCTAAGTGATGAAGAAATAGCCAAACTTTCAGATGCGCAGTTCAAAACACTGGTGATCAGGATGCAAACAGAACTGGTTGAGTTTAGTCACAAATTAGAGGAACATATGAAGGCTAAACTAATTGAAATGAATGGAAATGCACAGGAAACCAATAGTAATGGAAAGGAAACTGGGACTCAAATCAAAGGAGTGGACCAGAAGGAGAAAAAAAATGACCAAACAGAAAAGGATGAAAAAACAAGAATTCAAAAAAATGAGAGGCTTAGCAACCTCCAGGACATCTTTAAACGTTCCAACATCCAAATTATAGGGGTACCAGAAGGGGAAGAGGAACAGCCACAAGTGGAAAACTTATTTGAACAAATAATAAAGGAGAAATTCCCCAATCTGGCAAAGGAAATAGACTTCCAGGAAATCCAGGAAACTCAGAGAGTCACAAAGAAGTTGGACCCAAGAAGGAACACACCAAGGCACATCATCATTACATTAGCCAAGATTAAAATGGAGAGAATCCTAAAAGCAGCAAGAGATAAGGGGACAGTCACCTACAAAGGAGTTCCCATCAGACTGTTAGTGGATTTCTCAAAAGAGACCTTACAGGCAAGAAGGGGCTGGAAAGAAGTATTCCAAGTCATGAAAGGCAAGGACCTACAACCAAGATTGCTCTATCCAGCAAAGCTTTCATTTAGAATGGAAGGACAGATAAAGTGCTTCTCAGATAAGATCAAATTCAAGGAGTTCATCATCACCAAGCCCTTACTATATAAAATGTTAAAGGGACTTATCTAAGAAAAAGAAGATAAAAAAGATGAACAGTGAAAGGACAGCACACTCACAGTTATTAACAACCACACCTAAAACGAAAGCAAACTAAAAGTACAGCTAGATCAGGAGTGGAAACATAGAAATGAAGATCTGAAGGAGGGTTAGCAACAGGGGAGTGGGAGGAGGAGAAGGGGGGAGAAGGTACAGAAAATAAGTAGCATAGATGGTAGGTAGAAAATAGATGGGAGGGCAAGAATAGTAGGGGAAATATAGAATCTAAAGAACTTGAGACACGTGGTCATAAACTAAAGGGGGGAATGGTGGGGGTGGGGGTGTGCAGGGTAGAGGGGAATGAAGGGGGGAATAGAACAACTGCAATGGCATAATCAATAAAATATATTTAGAAAAAAAGGAGAGTGACATCATTGAGGAAAGAGGCTAGGAAAGACAAGTGTGGCCAGCAGTGCCAGCTTTGGGGAGAGCTCCAATGAGCTGAGGGCAGAGGTGTGGCTGTTGTTGGGCTTGACAAGAGGAGGCCAGGAAAGCACGGGCAGCAAAGGAGGGCAGGCCCGAGTGCTGTGGCCCAAGGCGGGTTGGGAGGGAGGCAGCATATTGCCGCGGGGTCTGATTCCCTGGAACCCTGCCCTCCCCTTCCTCCTACCCCCCACCTAGCACTCTCATCTTCAGCTTTAGTACCCCCCCATGAGGACACCTGCTAATCCACTACTGCCCAAGCCTCTCCACCAAGCTGATTCACGTATCCAGCGATGTCCTCCAAGTCGCCCCCAGGCATCCCAGACTCCACAGCTGTATAATGGGCCCTGGGTTCCCAGCTCCCCAGGCCTGTTTCGTCTGTGTCCCTAACTCGGGACAGGGATCATGCTCCATCCAGTCCCACAGGCCAAAAACCTGGGCAGCATTCCCAACTCTTCTTCAGTCCTTGACTCTCTCATTCAAGCAACCAATGGATTTGCCCACTTCTGCAGCCTAAACACTTCTCAACTGCCCCTCAGCCCCTGGATACCTGCCCTGGTGCTGCCTCCACCTGCCTCTAACCCTCCTTTCTACTTCCCACCTGGATCCATGTGCTGTTTGTTGCTCCCTGTACCCACCAAGCCTCTGCTCAGGCCGTCCCTCTGCCTGGAGCACCTTCCTCTCCTCTCTTCCTGCCGCCTGTGTCCTATATATCCTTTAAATCTTAGCTGAAGCTCGTGTCCAGGAGGCCTTTCCTGATGCCCGTCACCCCACAGGCTGGATTAGTTGCCCCCTCTTGGTGCTCCCAGAACCACAGGCATGCAGCCTGTCATTAATGGGGCCACAATAGATTGCAAGTCTGCCGGAGTCTGCTTGACGGTCCTACAGAGAGCAGTGTGCAGGGGAGATGGCTGAACACATAGGCGTGGGACACATTGTTTGGGAATGTGGCCCTGAAATTTTAGAAAAAGAAAGAGTGGTTGGCAAAGAAAGATGTAGGATCGTGGTTGTGTTGAGGCCTGAGCAGGATTTTTAGACCCCAGTGAGGTTCATGAACTGAGGTCTCTAGCCAAGCCAGAGTGGTGCAGGTGGGCCTAGTCTGTCCTCTCCTCTGTTGTGAGAAAGGGTGGTGTGAGAAAGGGCTGCAGCAGGTCAAGGGGTAGTTGTGGGATTTGTTGCTGCTTCACCTCAGAGAGGGGCTGTACCAGGCTGGTATCAGGGGCCTCAGCCCAGCTCTAGCCAAACTCCCATTCGCCCTGGCTTACCAGGTGGCCACCCAGTTCAAGATGAGCCTCCTGCAGCTGGTAGAGATCCTGCAGTCTAAGGAGCCCGCTTACATCCGCTGCATCAAGCCCAATGACGCCAAACAGCCTGGTAGGCCCCTCCCACCCATGGGCCTGTGGGGCCTAGACTCTGGGCAAGGGCCGTGGACCATCTGTCTGTGCAAACCCGTTGATTACTCTGTTATCCCTCCTCCAGGCCGCTTTGATGAGGTGCTGATCCGGCACCAGGTGAAGTACCTAGGGCTGATGGAGAACCTGCGTGTGCGCAGAGCCGGCTTTGCCTATCGCCGCAAATATGAGGCTTTCCTGCAAAGGTAGTGGTGGGACCTGGCTCAGTGCCAAAGAAAGGGGTCCAGAGGGTAGGAGCCTCTTACAACCTGGGTGGGAGATCAGAGAATCTTGGCCCCATTTCAGAGACAGGATGCTGAGGCTCTGAGCAGTAGGACCTATGCCAGGGGGCCTTCCATGCTGCAGGCATAATGTCAAACTTGGTAGAACACCCCCCAGGTCTTGCCCTGGTGGAGCACCTGGGCAGGGGTCCATGCATCATGCATCCACTTACCTGTCACCAAGAGAAATGGTAAAAGCTTATGAGAAGGACAGAGGGTCTGATCACCTCAAAAAGGAGAGAGCAGCCTTGTGGTTATCCTGAGTTAAGGGTCTGGGGAGTTAGTCAGGCATGAATTCCAGCCCCAGGGCCTTGAGCAGATAGAATACCTCAGTTGCCTTATCTTTAAAATGGGGATAACAGCTACCTCCCAGGCTTCTGTGAGCTTCCAGTTAAGGGGACCTCCCTGCAGGGACCCAGGAATGCTGGTTTGGGTCCCTAGAGAAGGGTGCTGGCTGGAGTGGGAGCTGGGTGCATTTCTGCCCCTGCCCGCAGGTACAAGTCGCTGTGCCCGGAGACATGGCCCATGTGGACAGGAAGGCCTCAGGACGGGGTAGCTGTGCTGGTCAGGCATCTCGGCTACAAGCCAGAAGAGTACAAGATGGGCAGGTGAGTGGTGCCCACTCCTAGGGTCTGGGGGGCAGAGGGGTGACCAGGGGCTGATCACTGCTGCCCTCCCAGGACCAAGATCTTCATCCGCTTTCCCAAGACCCTATTTGCTACAGAGGATGCCCTGGAGGTCCGGCGGCAGAGCCTGGGTGAGAGAGAGGCCCCACCCTTCCTGTCCCAGTGGGCCCATTCCGGGGAGCAGGAAATAAATCACTGCGCTCCGGCTCCTTTTCCAGGAAGTCCACCTCGCCCATATTCAGCTGCCTTCCTTACCAGCTCCAGCTCCAGACCCAGCCCCCGCCATCTGTCCTGCCCCTGGGTACAAACTCTGAGCATGTCCCCACATTCCTTTGGCCCCTCCTACTTGCTTTCATTTACTGTCCCTTCTTATTTTATCCTCTCACTCAATAGCTCCTTCAGCCACTCCCTCATTCCTGCTGCTCTGGCAGCTCTGCCAGCCAGGCCAGGCCAGGCCCCAGCCAGTTCCCCTGAGCTCTGACCAATTGACTCTTTCCCAACCACAGCCACGAAGATCCAGGCTTCCTGGAGGGGCTATCACTGGCGGCAGAAATTCCTCCGGGTGAAGCGATCAGGTTCGGGGGCCCCAGGGTCTTCGGTAGAGGCAGGGACTGGGGCTAGGGAGTGCCACCATGGTGAGGAGATAGAGGTCAGCTGTCTGTGGTCTCTGCAGCGATCTGCATCCAGTCATGGTGGCGAGGAACTCTGGGACGGAGGAAGGCCGCCAAGAGGAAGTGGGCAGCACAGACGATCCGGCGGTGAGCATCCGGGTGCCGTGAGGGGGTGCAGAGCAGGGCATGTGCAGGGGTCTGTTCTCAGAATTCTCACCCTCATCCCTGTTGGGCCCCCACCCCCAGGCTCATTCGAGGCTTCATCCTGCGCCACGCACCCCGTTGCCCTGAGAATGCCTTCTTCCTGGACCACGTGCGCACCTCTTTTTTGCTCAACCTGCGGCGGCAGCTACCCCGAAATGTTCTGGACACTTCCTGGCCCACACCACCACCTGCCCTGCGTGAGGTCTGTGGGCCCTCCCGGCTGACACAGGGACCTTCAAAACGCTCAGTGGAGGGGTCCAATAATCACATGGCCAGAAGAGCAGTCAGCAGGGTCCCCTGAGGGGGGCAAACCGGGGCTGGGCTGTGGAGGGCAAGTTGTTTTGAAACAACTTGGGAGTGCAAGGGGTTGTCCAGATTGGGTTTGTGTCGCTCAGATGAAAGCATGGTGGTGGGCACATGCCTGCTGTCCTCAGAGGGAAGAGAGCCGGGCTGTCCAGGTGCCCTGATGTGGCTTGTGCCCACAGGCCTCAGAGCTGCTGCGGGAGTTGTGCATGAAGAACATGGTGTGGAAGTATTGCCGGAGCATCAGCCCTGAGTGGAAGCAGCAGGTCTGCAGAACCAGGAGGCAGGCGTGGACTGGCGAGGGGGCAGCGGGCACCTCTTTAAGAGTGCTGGCCTGGGGAGAGCACTTTACCCCTGATTTACCATGTGACCTCAAATGGATCCCAGCCCCTCTTTGGCCTCTGGGATGAAGCAGAGGCTGGAGTAGATCGTGGGTGGAAATTAGGGTTCACCTTCTGGACCAGCCCCACTGGACTGGTAGAGGATGCCCAGAGCCCTATGTTGAAAAGGCTGTAGTTCATTCTGACCAATTGGTAATGTCTGCCATGGCTCTGGAGACAGACATTGGTGGCCAGTGTGCCTTGTATTTGCCAACTCAATATTGGTGATGCTAAAAGACCCAGCCAGCTTAGGTAACCTGTTTTGAGTGTTAGCAGTCAGCCAGCTTCAAAATCCCATGTCAAAGCTTAATATTGGGGGTTCCAGGGCGTGATGAGGGGAATTACCCCCCAGGTTGGGCCTGGACCCCAACAAGGCTGTCATGGCCCTTCTAGGGAACTCTCTGCCTTGGTTGGCGGAGCCGGTGGTAAGGTAGAGGAGGGGTAATGGACGTGTTGGGGGCAGGGGGCAGGCTCCTGGTGTTGGGCCCAGAGAGCGGGTAAGGGGGGCTGTCGCAGTGCCTCAGATTCTGAGGTTGGCCTGTGCCCCCTACTGTGATAGTCCCCATCCTCTGACACCCCTCCACCCTGCCCTTTTCTCCTCAGCTGCATCAGAAAGCAGTGGCCAGTGAGATCTTCAAGGGCAAGAAAGACAATTACCCCCAGAGTGTCCCCAGGCTCTTCATCAGCACAAGGCTTGGTGAGCCTCTGACTCTTCAGTGCCCAGCCACCCCCTGTCAGCATCCTAGTCCCCTCTCTCCTCTGACTCCCCCCGTCTGGCTTGCAGGTGCAGACGAGATCAGCCCCAAAGTGCTGCAGGCCCTGGGTACCGAGCCCATCCAGGTAAGATCCTGCCTGCAGCTTAGTCCAGCAGAGTTTTGCTGCCCAAGGGCCAGATGGGGGCACCAGGACCTGGGCAGAGGGTGAGAGGGTTTTCCCTGGAGCCCCCTCAGCCGGCCCCTGCCCCTCTCCCACCCTCTGTCCTCAGTACGCAGTGCCTGTGGTGAAATATGACCGGAAGGGCTACAAACCCCGACCCCGGCAGCTGCTGCTGACGCCCAGCGCCGTGGTCATTGTGGAAGATGCCAAGGTCAAGCAGAGGATTGATTATGCCAACCTGACCGGTGAGCCAGAGTCCAGGGCTGCATAGGGAGGGCCCCTGCTCTGACCCTTGATCCCTGACTTCTGCCCTTCTCCCTCAGGAATCTCCGTCAGCAGCCTGAGCGACAGTCTTTTTGTGCTGCATGTGCAGCGTGAGGACAATAAGCAGAAGGTGCCCCTTTGGGGGGGCTGGGCAGCGGGGTGGGAGGCTTCTCCAGCCCTGGGCAGAGCCTGACCTCTCCCCTCGTCCGGGCCCCACAGGGGGATGTAGTGCTGCAGAGTGACCATGTGATTGAGACACTGACCAAGACAGCCCTTAATGCTGACCGTGTGGACAACATCAACATCAACCAGGGCAGGTAAGGCAGGCTGGGGTGGTGAGGGGGCTATGTGTACACACGTGGGCAGTGCTCACACACCACCTTCCCTCCAGCATCACATTTGCAGGGGGCCCTGGCAGGGACGGCATTATTGACTTCATACCTGGCTCAGAACTGCTCATCACTAAGGCCAAGAATGGTCACCTGGCTGTGGTGAGTGGGACTCAACAGGCACCAACACCTGCTTCCTTGCCAGTGGCCCTAGGACTGGGGTGGAGCCTCCAGTGGCCAAGGCTCCCTTGGCATTGCTTGGGTACCATACCACTCCCGTCATCCTGTTGCTCGCTGGGGACCAGACAGAGGGGACTTTTGAGCCCCACAGTGCAGAGGGTCATAAAGATGGCAGCACAGGGAGGTGGAGAAGAGTTGGGGGCCAGGGGTGTGCTGGGTGGGAAGGAGAAGCCCACGCTGGCTAGGGCAGGGAGTCTTGTGGGAGGGGCATCAGTTTCTCCAGGACCAGGCTGCTGCTGTGTGTTCCTGACCTATGAGGACAAATGCCAGATGTGCCTCTGTCTGCTTCCCGCTCACCACTGGGCCTCTCCCTTTGCCCCCGCAGGTGGCCCCACGGCTGAACTCTCGGTGATGAAGGCGCCCACTGGACCCTCCCACCTCCCAATGCTTTGCTTATCCTCTCTTCCCCTTCCCAGTTACCAAAGACTCAAGCTTCCAGACAGGGACCCAGGGACACCTTGAAGTCCACCAACAAACTCCTGTCTCCTGTTCACCCCTCTCTTGAGGGAGCTGCGGGGGCCAGGGAGCTGCCCCAGGAGTGGGCCAGGCCGGGCCACAGCAATAGGAAAGCCGGGACCGGAGGCAAATATGCCAGCCCCGCTGCCGATGCCAAATATTTGAGAGAAGGGAACTTTTTGATGAGATTTTCTCTGAGATTTTTTGATGCTTTATAGGAAACTATTTTTTTTAAATGCTGTTTTCCCACCTCAAGACACACTGGATGTGTTTTTTCTGACTCCAGCAGGGCAGGGAATGCAGCTCAGAGGTTGGGCGGTCTGGGCCCTGGTGCACTCTTCCCTGCCCAGGCCACCTTGTCCTCCTGGTTCCCTTGGTGCCTTGTCTGCCTGCCTACCCACCTATACCCTTTGCAGCCCACTTTGACATCTCCTAGGGGCTGAGACCACCCTTGCCTGCCCCCTTCCTCCTACCTTAAAAGTGCCCTTTCAATGTTGTCAGCCTAGCCTGAGGGCATCCTGCAGTGGGGGAAGGGTCTTAGACATAGATTTAGGAGAACTGAGAGGTCATCTGGTCCAGCCTCCTGGTGTGACAGCAGCAGACAGTAGGTCAAGAGGGGAAGGGACTTGCCCTTCATCCAGCAGGCTGGGGCAAAACTGGGACTGCAGCCCTGTCCTCTCAGCACATTTTACTGCCTCTTCCAGGGACAGGGGGCCCCATAGAACAGGCTCATGTCTTAAGGGAGCATGTGGCTCCCTGACCAGCAATCACCCTTGGGGGCCACCAGGTAGGAGAAGTACTTCTGCCTGGGTCCATGCCTTAGAACCACAAATACCCTGCTCACATAACCTTGGCCCCAGTTCAAGGATGTGAGGCCCTGCCTGGGCCCTGACCTGCTCCCTGTCCGGGGAACCTGGAGAAGGGGTTGGCCTTGGGAGGAGCTGCAGGGACATCACCTCTTTCTGCTGCTTCCCCCACCACCTCCCCAGGGGGCCTGGGGCTGCCCAGCTGCCTCTGCCCTCCTGAGGTCTTGGCCCACTGCTGACACTTCTGCAATCCAGAAAAACACTAAATAAAGCAATACTGTTTGCCAATATTGATCTCCTTGTGAATGTTAAGAAAGGGACAAGACCCCCAGAAGGCAGCCAGGGGTCTTGTATTAGAGTTTTTGCCTTGTCCCCAGAAGGAAGGAGGCAGGGTTCCCTCCCCAGGTGAAAGGGCAAGTGTGGCCAATCGCTGCAACAGAACTTGCTTTTTCATTCACTGTCTCCCAAAGGGCTGCTCAGCCTGGCCCAGGGTGATGGACTGGGGAGAGATAAACATCACACATATTTCCTTCCCTGTGGCCTCAGCCCAGCAGGGAAGCCTGGTGCACAGAAATGCAGCCCAGTGTGGGAAGTGCAGGTGCCAAGAGGTGGATGCACAGACTCCTGACCGGGGTGGGGGGATGCTTTGCCAATGTTTCACAGAGAAGAGGACATTTCAGATAGGTTTCAAAGGATAGTCTCCAAATTCTGTTGCAATTGATGGGCCTAATCCAAACTGGTTTGGGAAGAAAAAAACAGCGTTTGCAACCTAACAGGCTGGGCTGCTGTCAGGTGCTTAGACAACGTCACAGATGTGACTGCAACCAACTCTTGCTCAGCTTTTCCTTGTGGTAGCAAGAGCCACTAACAGCACCAGACTTATTGTATGAAGCTGACAGCAGAGGCAGAGAAAAAGTGCCTCTTTCTGAGTAATTCAAGTCTCAGAGCCAGTTCTCAGTGGACAGCTCACATGAGGTGCTATTCCCTGACCCAATCATAGGGAGGAGGGCTTACTCTAACATGTGCCTGCCAGGCCTGGGTCATGTGTCTACAACCTCCCACCCCCCCCAAAAAAAAAAACCAGAAGTGACATGTACCACACTTGACCACGAGGACCAAGAGTGGGGGCAGATGACTTCCCAAAAGAAAATCAGCTTTTGCCTCCAAAAGAAGGGAATTAGTGTTGGAAGCTGCAACCACAGAACCCATCAGCAGATGGCTAAGCATTTTTCTGAGCAGGAGCAGCACGCAGGCAGAAAGAATGATAGGCCTTAAAGGCAAGAAAGTTTTAGGATCAGGCTACCTGCTGCATTTAGATTCATCACCTAGGGCAAAAGTTATGAATGAATGAGACACTGAGTTTGGTGTGACTGTCTTGAGCTTGACACTATCCTATGAGCACACCTAGAGATTTTGACTTCCAGAAAAATGAAAGCACCACAGTCATTTGTCTGGTCTATCAGTAGTAACTGACTCGAAGAAGTGAACAGATAAGATAAACATTGTGTCAGGTGCAATGACCAGGTTTACAGCGGTAACAACACTCCTTGCTGCAGCCAATTGGTACGCATGGGAGAGTGACGTCACAGAGGTGACCAAGAATGGTTTGCACCCCGGCTCACATCCTGGAGGAAGTGCGATGCTCTCCAGGATATATCTGCGAGTTATAGGAAGTTAATTTTGGCTCTGGACACAAGCCTCTACCCAACTCTACATTCATTCATTCAACCGATATTTACTTACGTGCCAGGCTGCTTGGGAGAGCCTTGGTACCTGAGATACAGCAGAACAAAAATGACCCAAATCCATGCTTTTGTGGAGCTTACATTCTAGAGGGGAAGAGAGAACAACACATAAAACTAGTATATAAATATATATCATGGATTAAAAGGAGATAAGTGCTAGAAAAATAAAGCAGAGAAGAGAGGAGTTGGGTGTGCACTTTGCAGTTCCCAATGGACTGTGAGGGCAGGCCTCCCCGAGGGGGCAGCCTGACACTGGAACAGAGACCTGAGGGGGTGAGGGAGTGACTGGACACCCAACAAAGGGAATGGCAAGTGCAAAGTGTGGAGGTTCCTTAGAGAAGGAGGAAGGTGGTGCAGCCAGAGAGGAGTGAGCAGGAGGGAGAGCAGAGCGGGGAAAAGACAGGTGGGTTTGCATCTCACCTCCTTCAGATCTTCTTGATTTTCTCAGCTCCTGAGATGGAATTAGGGAAGTTGGCACCTGCTCCTGGATTCCTCCCCACAAAAGCATCTGTGGGAGCAGCTCTCCTAAAGAGTGGGGTAGTGAGAAGGGTTTACTTTGCAGCAAAGCAGACGACTCTTTCTCAACAGTCTTACAGCATGTCGCTGCGGGGAGCATCTCGGCAGCCTTTCCAGGAAGGTCCGGCCTCCTGCCTTGGTTCCCAGCACACCCTGCTCCCCTAGAACCTCCTTGGAGTCCTCTTGCGTTTCACCCCAGAGCTCTTCGCCAGTGTCTGACTCCACATCCTATCTCTGCACATTTCAGACTGGTCCTTGTCTCTGCAAAACTAAGGGCTACCCACTGGAGGTGGGGCATCTTTTTCACAGTTCAGAAGCTCCAGTAGAGAAGGAAATTTCAAGTCACTCTACCTCCTTTCTCTCTTTCTCCATCTCCATACGTGAATGGGAACAGGGTGGATGTGTAATTTTCCACTAATACAAACTGTGCCTACACACACCCACATTTTCTCTCTCACACACACTTTGGAACAGGGGTGTCAAACTCATTTTCACCAGGGACCACATCAGCCTTGTGGATGCCTTCAAAGGCCCGAAATAATTTTAGGACTGTATAATGTAATCACTCCTTAACTGTTAAGAAGTTGAAGTTACATTTGGCCCTTTGAAGACAATCTGAAGGCTGATGAAGCTCCTGGTGAAAATGAGTTTGACACCCCGGCTTTGGAAGGTGATATTGTCAGTTTTCTCCCTAAATAATATTTTCAAAAGATTTTCTTTATTTACTTTTAGAGAGATGGGTAGGGAGTGAGGAGGAGTGGAAGAGTGACACCAACGTGTGAGAGATTCAGTGATTGGTTGCCTCTCGTACCTCACCTAATGGGGGCCTGGCATGTGTCCAGGCTGGGAATCGAACAGCGACCTTTGACCTTTCAGTTCACAGGCCAGTGATCAATCCATTGAGCCATACCAACCAGGGCTAATTTTCGTCATCTTGATACAAATAAGTTTTCTGTTTGCCTTTTTTTCTTTTAAGGTAAAGTGGGTATGAGTAGCCCAATTCCAGAGGGTTCCATCGCATTACCGTGGAGTCAGGGGGTCGTGGAGTCCACAGCCTGCACAGCTGTATGCCGCAGCTCTGGTTATTTTACGTGATACAGAGCAGGTAGGCAGGCAGGGCACTAACCCCCCTGCTCCTCCTCCATTGCTGTAATAAGGAATGTCTTACTTTGGATGGGATTGGGAGTAATGACCTTTGGTGTTTTTTCTCTTGAACAGGGCAGTCTTCCCTTTTTCACCTTTATTCACCTCTGCTTCTCCCCACCCCCACCCCCACCCCCAACACTGGGAGCCCTTTCTAAGCAAGAAGGTCACATTCTTTGTAAGGCAGGTCTTAGGCTTATGGGGTGGGGGTGGATGGGCAAGAGCCGCCATTATAGCTGCAAAGCCTGATGTAGGAAGGGGAAAAGAGGAGGAAGAAAAGAGAAAGAAGAAAAGGGACAGAGTGAACTTGCCTTCTTCTTGTCCCAAAGCTGCTTCTGTTTCTACTCTGCTGTTCTCTGAATTAGTAGATTCTCTATGCTCCAAGGAAGAACATACTTCAGTAACTGCTTGTGGCAATCTCCTTGCTTATTTTCCAGCTTAGTTATTATTTCCTTCCTTCCTTCCTTCCTTCCTTCCTTCCTTCCTTCCTTCCTTCCTTCCTTCCTTCCTTCCTCTTTTTTCCTGTCTGTGCTTTCCTTTTTTCCCTTCTTGGAGTATTCCCCTCCCATCTCCCCCACAGTCGTGCTCATATGCCCTGAGGATGGGGCTTAAAGACATGGCTTCAAAGCCTCACAGGAAGTCTCTGGGTCAAGTCCTGCCTCAAAGCCAGGCCATCCTGGGAAGGTGAGGGACAGGGACTTCTCTTTCCCAGAGAGCAGAATTCACACTGGGTGGCTTCTGCTGCTAGCTTGTGACTAAGCCAGGGTCACCAGGATGAGTCATCCACAGCAGGAAAGGTGACTTTGCTCCCCTCCCCTTCCTGGAGCAGGCCCAGGGGTGTGTGAAGGGGGTCAGGAAGAGGTGTGTTATTCGTTAAGATCATAACCCAGGGCTGACTCATTCTTTAAAATGTCTATTTCTGCCATCCTCCCCCACCTGCCACCTCCACCATTCTTATTCCAGATGTCTGAGAATAAAAGAGTGACCATAGCTCTCTTCTCCTCCAAGATTTGAATCTTGGCTTTCCATTTAGCACCATTGTCTTTGGACAAAAACAAAGTTACTCAAGCTGGCTGAACTTCACTGTGAATGGAGATAGTTGTAAAATACCAACCATAACGTCCTTGAGAAGATTAAATAAGGTGATCCACACAAGAGCAGCACTATGCCCTGAGGGTAGTATTCCCTGAATAAACGTTAGCTGTTAGCTGTTATAATGAAACATTTATGAGATGTCTCCTACACAAGATGGTTGGCCTTTGAGGTGCTTTACTATGGGGCACAAACAGACCTGCAAATGAAAGACTACAATATACTGGGTAAGAACTGTAATGGAGATAACACGAACACAGTGCTGCCCATGCAGAGAGGGAGACATGCGGTGGAAAGGAAAGGGAAGGCATTTGAGTTTGAGGTCCCAAAAGGAGTGGAAGGGTGTTTCAGAAAGAGGAAGCACAAGCTTCATGTAGAAGCAGTTAAGATGAGACTGTGGTACACTTTTATGCTGTGAGCTTTAACACCTGACAACTGTTAAAAGTTTTACACAGGGCAGCCAGTCTCCGAGTTGTAATTTAGAAAGAGCACATAGGCAGATGTGTGCAGTGCAATTAGGGGCAGCAAGACAAGCAGCCTGTTCAAAGGAACACAGGTACAGATATGAAATATATATAGAGAGAGACGATCGTGAAGGTACGGAGAGCAGAAGATACCTCTGGCCATAGTTAGGGTTTAGAAAAATCTGGGCAGATGACTTGATAGCCCCAATACAGAGAACTCTAGACTTCTATCCTACTTGGCACACTGTTCCCTTTGTCTTAAATGCCCTTCTCCTCTTGTCATTCAACATTCATTCAGCACATGCCATCTCCGCTGGGAAGCCCTCTT